GGAATGCCAAGAGCGAGGCTTGGAGAAGCTGTAAAAATTTCCCACCCTACCTGCTAACTGAAAAATAGGACAACTTTCAGTCTCGAGGGCAAGAAAGTAAATGCATCGATGATGCCCCTTTCCCAGATCAGCTTGGGGACTTTACTGTCAATATTCCCCAGGAGTGTCCCTGCTCAGAGGAAATAAAAAAAAGAAAAGACAAAAAGCAATTACTACCACCTCACAGCAAGACTGGAGACCTCTAATGTAACCGTTTTGAGAAAAAGCTTAGAAACCACCCAAAAGGTGAAGGGGCAAGGCAGGTTCTGTTCACCCAGAATTCTTCATGCTCCTCTGGAGACCGACGTGTTCATCCATCTATGTGTCCATTTAATTATTTACTTAGCAATCACTGACTGCGCAGTCACCGGGTATCACCTGGGGTTCTCGGGTCAACAAGACGCATTTCCTGTCCCTGAGGAGCTAATTTCTAATATACGAACAAGCCACCAGACACCCATACCAGCAATTTCCATGCTACCTGGTAGTTGTCATGACGGAATTCACACAGGTACTTTGGGGACACGTGATGGGGGGCGGGAGGCTTACCTCACCCAGCGTAGGGAGTCGGGTAAGTGTCTTTCAGGAGGTGATCTCCAGGCTGACATGTGAAAGGAGTAGGAGATACGCCAAGGAGAGAGGAGAAGAAAGAATCTTGATAGAAAACAAGGACGTTCTATTTATTCCTGGGTAAATCTATGACTGCTAGACTTGTAACCCAGCTCACGTCCCAGTGGGTTCTGCAGGAGTAAGGGACCCCCTGAGCCTCTAACATCCGCTCGGACCCAAAGCAGTGAAGCTGCTGATCTATGGAAGGTGGAGTGATGTACATGTTTTCAGAAGATAAACTGAAAAAAAAAAAAAAAAAAAGCGAAGCGAAGAGATTGAACCATACGGTAAAATTCTTCCCTTGCAAAGTGGTGACTCAGCCGAGACCTAAAAGATGAGTCAAGTTAGGTGGGTGAGAGATGGAGATGAACACTCTAGAGCAAATGTTGTGTCCCCAGGCAGAGTGTGCAGTACAGATCACGGGGCGAGCTTGGCAAGATGAGGCGAGCACTTAGGCGAGCACAAAGTAGGTGAATGGTCTAGAGAAGTCTTTTTTAGTCCACAACAAGGTTTAAGTTATGAAGTAAGATAAACATTCTTCGATTATAAACTCTCTGTAGGCTACCTCCCCAAAAAGCTTCCTGATATACTCTCAGAAATAGTATCGTCTTAAAAACACGACCTCTGAAGCCACATTCTTTAAAGTAACACATAGCACTCAATAAGATGCATGTTGACTTTGTCGAGCTGTTTTTTTTTTAAGGTTCAGCTTGGAGATGTTTGCTCACCTGAGAGCATCCCTTGACAGTAGATATTTGCAAAGATTGCATTAACACTGAAAAGCACGCTGTACACTTTGGAGCTACGAAGTGATTGTCTTGTGAAGAATGTAACCAGGCCCTTCTCACCCTAAGCAGTGTCCTTATCCTTGCTTAGACCCCGCCTGAGTTCCTTATAAGGGCTAAGTAAAAGTGATGTCCATTTTATATCATTAACAGTTACCAAACCTTCCAGGGGAAGTTCCCTCTTGATTTTGTATAGGAGGTTTGACAAGGAGCAAACTACAGCATAGGAGGGGATGGGGCACGCATCTCAGGCTTCCCAGAAGATCTCTGTTGCCCAGAAAGGGTGAGACAGGGAAAGCATTTACAAAGTCATTCATAGCAAGGAAGTTTGAACTCAGAGGGAGCTGTGAGTTGGCTGTTTGACTGGGGCATGGGCCAGGGCGTGGGGCTTAAACCTCATGGCTGAGTGCTCCAAGTCCTTTGCCTGGATTTCAGAGAACCGTGACTTGCTCTGTTCTGTCTTGTTTGTCTGTAGGAGACTTAATACATTTGCGGCTGTCTCTTCTTCTAAACATAGAACTGAAACCGATGAATAAGAATCAAGGAGAGGTAGATTTGCAATTAGTACACGGAAGAATTTTGTAATAATTAAAATTGCTTGCAGGTTGCTCAAATGATCTGAAGAGCAGCTATGCAGGCAGCAAGCCTCCACCTAGCGTGGGTGAACCACTGGTCAAAGGAGGTCTGTTCTCTGACCACTCGGGGAATTAGTATCTCCTCTTGCCCTCTCCCACGACAACTGTCTCCTCCCTGTTCTTCGGGTCAGTGAGAGGAACGCTTTATTTTATCAGCCTGGAGTATAATTCTGGTTGGGAACCACTGTTTTAGATGCCATTTGCAGGTTTCTTCTTGTGCCAAGATTTTCCGTTTTCCGATTAATTCATTAACTCTCGTGCCATGCTACTGAGGTAGAAAGAGCCCAGGTCTGCACAGAATGCACTCGACCCAGCCAGGAAGCAGCGTCTTGACCTGCACAGCACTGGCCTCTGAACTAGACTGTGGGACGGCTGTGCCGCGGCCTCTGGGCAAATAGGATGTACTTGGCGAAGCGTGCAGGAAGGGCCATGGTGAAAGAGGGGAATGTCTGAAAACAAACCTTGAAAGTCCTCTCAATTCCTTTGATTCTATTTTTAAACCCTGCTAATATAAGAACAGCAATATTTAGAGTAAAACTTGATTCTCACTTCCTTGATGGAGCCACAGAAATAGACGCTCCCCGTCCGAGGGATAAACAAAATGTCTGGGAGGACAGCCAAGTGCGCTCTCAGACGTCCCCTGCTCTGCTTTGTAATACCTCAGTTTTCGTTTTGCAGTAATAAACCATTTCTTATCATTGCTCTGACTGATAACCCCGACATGACATAATGAAAAGTCTTTTTATAATGAAGTTACTCTCTTTGGGGAAGGGGCGAGTGTGATCTTTATGTAGAAAGCCTGTTCCTTAGAAACCAAACTCCAATAAACAAGGGCAAGGAAGAGCTGAGCTCTAATCAAGTAAACTGACCTTCTCCAGTCCAACTCCTCATTAACCCGTATTTTTTCCAGCTTCCTTAGCTTTTCTGTTTCGTAGTAGACAATCCTCACCTCACAAAGGGTTGGGGGGAAAACATTCTTGTTTTTCTGTTCCCGCTTTGATATGACAGGGTCCCCCCGCAAACCCACGTCGGTTCTCTTCTGTAACTTCCTTTATCTTCAATTATGAATTCCTCATAGGAAAATAGGTCAGTTACTTAAGTGCCGAAGGGTTCAAGTGATCTCGCAAACTACATCTTGGATTTAAAATTCAGAGGACTCCACTAGGAATGTCCATATAGGCTATGCATAAATGTGAGCACACTCGTATATTGATTCGCATAAAAGTAGCATTGATTTGCAAGGGATTCATCAATCAGTTGGAAAAAATCAATAAGTAGGGTGCTATGTTCTAACGCTGAATCTTTGCCTCAGTTGGAAGCCTACAGAAGTGATGCTTTTGTGCAATCAGGAGAATTTCTACACAGATGATCCACCAACGCGTCACTTCTGAAAGCTGCGAGGTGCTGCCGGGAGGAAGGGAGTATGAGAAGGTGTTCGTGCGAATTTCCTCTGTCCTCTGATGATTCACGGTGTTCCTTCCTCTTGGATAACTCCCGCCTGAGAGGTGGGAATGCAGCGGCTTCATCGGTAAGCCCCAGAAGTGCGGTGCAATAGCATTATTTTAAAGTGATGAAAGTCTTTATTTGTAAGAATTATGGCGGGAACTGCCCTTCTTGAAGAACCCAGTCTTTTCCAAGGGTGGTGGAAGGTTCTTGAAACCTTTCCTGAGACAGGCTTCTCAAAAGGGGGCGATGAAGGGGCTACCGGGTCAGACAGGCGAGGAGAGGATTTGGAGAGAAGGAGCTACTGTTAATATCCACCATGAGGCAATTCGAGGATGGACAGACGAGAGCAAAGCTCTTTTAGGGAGTCCGCTGTATGATGGCCCGCCTAGCTGCTCTCTGCTTCTGCTTCCGGACCTCTGCAAAGCTCTATGAGATTTTCAGGGTCTTGAGAACTGGATGATAATTCTTTATAAGTGATACCTATGGTGGTTTGGTTTGAGGCCAGAGCCAGCTGATCTGTTTTCGCACTTAGGAAATGATCATTCACACCAAGTTGATTTTTGATATCAGATCAAGAAGGGTAAAGCACACATTTGAAACACCTATAGTCAAGGCTGGTCTTAGTGATAGGGGAGTCAAATCTGAGCCGCACCTCCTGGGGAAGTCTCTCTACCAGAATATTTTAAACTGGCAAGCTTATGAAATGGCACATCTTTTACCGTGACTTGTAATTCTTAATAGTATTGTTACTTTAAGAGCACGCGCGTGTGCGTGTGTGTGTCTGTGTGTACACAGAGGTTCTCCTCCCCACCTAATTGAGATGAAAGTGAGGAAAGGAAAAGATGTATTAGGCTCCTTAGCCAACACCCCAGAATGGGATTAGTGGCAATCACCTAATTTACTTTCTGACAATTTAATCTAAAATAGAATTTAAAGAGGACAAGATGGACTACACCATCTGCTATATTTATAGTCAAAGAGAACGATAATTAAATCAACTCTATGGTAACAAAATTCAAAATAAAAATTGAGGAATTAGTTCTTTGTATGGAAAAAAAAAAAAAGTTTTATGGCTCAGAACAAGAATCCCTACCCCGCCCGGTGAGGTACTAAAAGTGTTTCCACGGTAACCAGAAACTGGATAAAAATAACTATTATCAGCTTCATTACTCAGGATTATTTTAGAATTACTAACTCATGGGATTAGGCAAGAGAAAGAAAAGAAAAATCATAACAGAAGAAGTAAAATTATGATTTTTTTCAAATAATAAATATATATACCTGGAAAACATTAGGATTGATTAAAAAGCTTTTACTAACAACCAGAGAATAAGCATAGCAACTGGTTAAATAATTAATTCGCAACTATCAATAGTTTTTCAAGATTAAAATAAATGAGAAAATATAATGGGAAAAAGATACCATCCATGATAAAAACAAAAGAGATAAATACCTAGAAACGAACTTAATATGCAGGACCTATCTAATCAAAGCTTTAATTTCTTTACAGGAACAGAGAAGAAATCTTGAATCAATAGAAAAATAATAGTTTTTTTTGTTTGGATAGGAACATGTTAATATTTAAATGAGACTAATTCTCCCTAAATTAAGGTAGAACTTTAAAGCAAACCCAACAAATATACTAGAAGGATTTTCTTTAACATAGCAAGCTGATTCTAAAATTCATGTGAAAATAAACAAACAAAAAGTGATCCACAGAAGAATTCTGATGCACAAAAGTAAGGAGGGATAAATAGTGTACTAGTAACTAAAATAACCACTGCTGTATTCCAAACACACAGACGAATGGTGGTTACACAGCATGCTTTCATGAAAACGTTGGATAAAGGCATAAAAGAATGAATTTGAGCCAGAACGACAACTAGTTGGTGCTGGTAGAGACGTGATGATCTGTGGAGTAGCAAAGAGAATCTAGAGACATACTCAGATCCGAGTGGGAAATTAGCATGAGATACAGATGACTCCTGGGTTATTGGATGGGGATAATTAGCCATTTAGAGAAACAAACAAACGAACAAAAATGAAATAAAGCCAATCACTACCTCACTCCTTGTATCAAAGTAAATTCTAGATGCAAAAAAAAAATAAAAAGTTAATTTTATCATGTGGGCAGTCCTTTCTAAACAAAATCCAAAGTCTAGAAACTTAAAGAAAAAGACTCAAAAGTTTACATAAAATTAAGAATTTAAAACATTGAGTAAAACCAAACCAATTAACCAATAAAAAAAAAAATCATAAACTAAGTAGACAGGCATGACAAGCCTGGAAGACAAATTGGATCTAGATTAATTTTTAACAGAAACTGAGGGAAGCGACATTCCGAGAAGAGCCAAGAAGGCCACAAACAATGCCAGGAAAATGAATAAAATGACTGAGTTACAAGGGCGTGTGTGAAGAGCAAGGGCGTGCCTCAGGAGACAAGTGGGAAGAATTCGTCGGTTGGGTTCATTTTTGTCTGGGCTGAGCGTCTCGGCACCACAGCTGTGCCTGCACAGCGTGACAGCGTGGGAGTCCTCGTCTTTGGATGAAGTTAGCCGTGAGGCAGGCCCACGCCCACGCCAGGATGGCCAACACGCGACCTCCAGTAGGTAGGTGATCTGGTCAGACTTCACACCAAAGTAATAAAAAGAACAATAGATGCGCCTCCTGAGTGTTTTCAGTGGTGGCAGGCTTCTCCAAGCTGGAGATAGCCTGGGGTGACAAGGAGAAGCAGAGGGACTCTGCCCCCCGCGGCCCACGACCGCTCCCTGGGCTGTGTGGAAGACACATCTCTTGGTGTTTGCCACTGAATGCTACAGCTGCACCCCGGCCAGCGGGTTGGCTGCGCTGCCTGTGCACAGACGTGGGTGGGATATTCCGGAGCCATCCTACACCCCAGGCACCTCTGGTGTTGAATGAGACCTTAGTTACCGAGGAAGAAGCGAAAAGAGTGAGGACAGGAAAAGGTTTTGTCCTTTGCCCTCTTAAAGTATTGTTTTTTTCCTGACATAAGGACATGAGTGCAAGGACCAAGTTGAATGAGAGGGCGTATTTTCGGATGGTCAGGCTGGGAAGTGCTGCCTTTGAGGCTCTGGCATAAATATACCTCAGCCTTGCCCGTGGCTACGGCAACTGCCTGCAGTTGCAGGTCTCTGAATATCCTTCGAGGCTCCTGGGGCAAAGGCAAGGTTATTTCCTGTCACCTCAATTGGCCTGAAGGGCACATGCTCACTTTTATCTCACACTTATTCTTTTCTTGTAATATATTTATGAAAATGATCAAGTCTGGACTTCTGAGGCTTGACCCTTCCAACCCCACGAGATCATATCAGAACACATTTATTTTTACGAGGTGCCCCCACCCCGTGGTCTGAACTGACGGTTTTGCCCATCCTCAGTGCAGTACAGCTTTAAGACTTTTGTTGTCCACTCCCCCAGCCCTCCCCCAGCCCCGCCCCC